CGGGGAGGAGAAGGAGAGAGAGGAGGGGGGGGGGGGGGGGCAAGAAGAAGAAGAAGAAAGCTAATTCCTCGTGTGTATCCCCAGGTTTACATGCTGAACGCTGGTTCCGTGGCACACGCGCTTTCTGGGGCTGCTGCCATGTTGGTCGCTACGGCTGTCGCAATCAATGTGCTCTGATGTGAGGAAGTGCCCTTCGTACAGACAGAAGTTGAGGAAGTAGTGGTGTTTTCACTCTTGTTCATATTTGTACAGCTTTGTAATCATGTAAATATATTAGAGGTCCATAATCATCGCCATACGCATCCTCTTCAAACGGGGGTATCATTCAACATAATCAGAAGGCTAGTCCAACTCTCACGGGCCCATCCAGCACTTTACTTCCCACGAGGTCACGTAAACTTCATCGGCCCAAGTCCCCTCTCGCGGACGGCCGTCTGGACCGCAGCCTTGATGCTGACGACCGCGCTCCTCCAGCCCCGCCTCCCCCTCCTGTTGCTCTCGGTGTCCTCCTCGACGACCCAGTCGAGCCAGGTCACCAGCTTCCGCGCCTTGTCCATGTCTTTCTCCTCCGTGACGACTCTCTTCAGATATCTCTCAAACATCTCCACATCCGTCCGGTGCGGCCCTTCATCCCGAGTCTGTCGGTGCCAAGCGTTCAGCATGTCCTTGATCTCGGGCACCGACGTCAGTGACGCATTGGTGAAGCTGATCTTGGGCGGTTTGGGCGGAAACTGGAGTTTGGTCTGGCCACCGAGCAGGTTGGCGGCACCATCACCCACCCCGGTGCCACGACGCTGTGGTGCCTGGAAGTTCAGACCCGATCGCTGCGCCATCCGGCGTTGTTTGTGGTCTGCAATGACTTCTTTGCGGACTTCTTCCGGCAGCTCGGCAAGGAATTCCGGGTCAAGCTCCTCCAGCAATGCATCATCCGAGTCACCACCACCACCACCACCACCACCACCACCACCACCAGTACCGCATTCTGTCTCCCTGGTGGTAGTCGGGAGGAAACTTGTCTGCTGAAGCCTCGCCTCGGCATCGTGCTGTCTTTCCCGCGCTCGACCAAACATCCCGCGAATCCCACCTTTGGTCGGCGTCTTCTTTGGAGTGGCTTGGTGCACGACTCTGTCCCGTCGAGGTGACTGCGGAAGGACGGCTTGACCAGGCCTCCGGCCGTAGGATGCGAGAACCTCGGCCTTCACTTCATCCGGGAGTGCGTTGAACACATCTGGGTCAATGTCCGGGGGTACTTCATCCACGACCGCCGGGCTTTGCGTCCTCGAACGGATACTAGGTGATTCGTCCTGGACCTGGGCAGCACGTTTCTGCTGTGCCATCAGCTTGCTGCGAATGTCCTGGGGCAGCTCCGCCAAGACGGCCGGGTCCGCATTGGACGGCATGATGAATTGGGTGCCCGTTACATTTAGGGGCGTCGTGGCTTTTGCGTCCGCTTCCCCGGCCTTGGACAAGGCAAAAGCAGGGTGGACAGGGCTGATCTTGGGTTTACGCGGAGTCAACGGGTCGTCCGCAATAGGGTCTGCATCAACACTCCGCCCCTGTGACGAGACGTTGCGTTTGACGCCCGGTTCGTCCTCGATCGGCTCCGCCTTCGTCCGCTTCGCTGGAGCAGCCGCTGGAGCGCCAAAGGAGATCCGTTTCTGACTTCCATCCGGCGCAGTTGTTGTGGCTTTGATTGGCTCCAGCTTGGTGAGCTGAACGCCGATTCCTCGCAAGTCCCCTGGTGTGAACTTGAACGAGCGCAGTATTGCCACAGCTTCTTTCCCAATGGTTCTTGCGTCATTCGTCGCAACGCCAAACGCTATGGACTTGTTGAACGTGTCGCATTTGCCGTGGCCAAGATGTTTTGGAGGATCAAGCGGCGCATCTGACGACCTTCGCATGATCTTCATGGTAAGATTCTTCCCCTTGACCTGCTCGTTCAGCAGTCGCTTCTCCAGCTCCTTGCACAAATTCAACACGAATTCCTCGGCTTCCTCCTGACTGATGAAGCGGATGCCCCAATTTACTTCGGCTGATACCGACTTTCGGATGGGTTGGTCACCGACTTCCGTTCTGTCTATGCCTCTGGCATACTCCCAGAGTTTCTCGCCAGTCTTCGGACCAAGAACTGACACGAGGCGTTCTTTCGTGATGTCCCGGATATCCTTGACGTATTTGACGCCGATCTCCTCGAGCTTACCGCCGATACTGTAGGCGACACCGGGAAGGCTCTCGACATTGAGCTCGCCGAGAATGCCCAGCACTTCTTCGGGCTTGATCTGGTATTGGCCCGCCGGTTTAGCCTTCCGTAGTGCGACTTTGGCGAGCAGGATGTTCGCCCCGATGCCAACCGAGACATTGCAACCAGTCTTCGTCTTGATGCGCTGGCGAAGATCCGTCGCCAGTTCGTCAGCTTTCGCCTGTTCTCTCCAAATACTGCCCTCGTCAATACCGACCCCTTCAGACCCGGCCCCCGACAAGACAATGGATGTGACGTCTACGAGGGCCTCATCAATACTGACGCTCTGCACTACACCTCCAACATCCAATATCGCCTCGTAGAAGAGCTGACTGGCATCTTCGTAGGCCGGGAAATCATAGGGCAGAACTTTGAGGTTCGGACATAAATCCAGAGCCTTTTTCATCCACATGCCGTTCTTGACGCCGAATTCTCGAGCAGGGTAATTGCAAGACGCGATCTCGGACCCGGTGCCGGTACCGTGCGCCACGACGGCAGGCTTGTCAGCCCACTCCGGATGCTTCTTGAGCGACACAGCGCAGAAGAAGCTGTCGAAATCTACATGCATGATATATCTCCTGGTGCTAAGCTTCTTCTTCAGCACCTTTGCGACGGGCCGTTTCTGGGCAGCGAGTCTTTGCATCTTTGATTTGAGGTCTGCTTTCCAGGTTGAGAGATGGTGCAGTCGGCTCTCAGAGTAGTACTGTCTGATGAAGTCTGGATTAGCTGTCGAGGATTTCCTGATATGCGGATCTGCCAGTAAGAGAGCATTGTGCTCCTCGGACGTCATCTGCCGTGGCTTTGGAGCTGTCGATCCGGAGGCAACCTCAGGAATCTCTGATTCCGTCGGACGATCTTCTGATTCAGCTTTGGACACGTCTTCGAGAAGGGCCTCGGGTTCGACATCCTTGTTCTCGGCTTCTGAAGGGCCGGGATCGGTCGGAGCCTCTGACGGAGCCTCTGGCGGACCCTGTTCGGGTAATCTGGACTTTTGCATGCTCGGTGGCATATCGAAGTCCATAGCATCATCGTCCTCGATACTTTCAACTTGTTGGAGCGTAGCTTGCCGATCACCACTTGCAGCGTCTGTTTTGCTGGGCGTCTGCTGAAACTGCCCGGCATAGAAGCTGTTCTGGGTCTGCTCTCGATACCCAAGCTGCGTCTTCTGGGTGCTCTGAGAGAATAAACGGCCACCATCAAACTGGATCGTCTTTTGTCTCGGTCCCTCATCGATGAGCCGGTACTCGTTCCACGGAAGAACCTTGCCTGCCTTGATGGAATCGACCACCCACGCGGGTTTGACAATCCTGTATCGGCTGAATTCTACGGCCTTTTTGGGAGGCAGTGAGGATGCTATGATATGCGTTGCCATCGTTTTGCCATCCAAATACTGAAGGAATCCGGCTCCATGCTGGACCAGCTCCTTGTGTAGACTTGCAGGGCAGAGCATTAGTCGTAGGGGCTAGATCATGTGAGAACAAACATATCACTTACACGTGAAGAGGAGGTTGAGTGTAGCCGGAGACATGCGCGACGACGCCTTTGAATATTTGGGGCTTATCGGGCGCCGACGCACGCATGTCTGCATCCAGGTTCTGCAGCTTGATCTTCTTTCTCCGGAAGTAGTCGCTGAAGCCCCCAAAGGCACTCGGCTCGTACTCTTCGCCATCCTCGCCGGAGAAGGTGTGTTCCTCAATCCGCTTCCGCACCGCGGACGAGTTCTTCTCAAGTCTACTGCCCATGTCAAATCCAAAACCAAGACAAGAAAGGATACGGATGGGTGCGGTGATTATGATCTGTTGGGACGTCTCATCCTCGGGATTGGAAGATCAAAAAGAACGGCTGCTGCTCATAATGAAAAGCCCATAAACAGTCCGCTTGCTGTAATCATCTCAGACGTCTTATGGGTCCTTGCTCTCGAAGTCATTAGCGGCAGCCCCTTGTCATCGGCATGATCGCGGAGGGCGCGGTTGTTGCCTTGTGCTTGCTCGGAGGTTCGGAAATGGCGTCGCGTAAGAAATCCAGTGGGCAACCCGCGTAGAGTGGCCGCCCCCCAGAAGACGTCATGCCGCTAACGCGGACCTTGAAGGCTATTTGGCACGCTATCTCGTGACTTTTGCTGAGTGCATTCTGGAGCCCCACTAGCCTAGCCCGCTATCTTTTGGCAGCCTCGATTGCGAGGCTGCGTGGATCTTGGAACTTTGCGACAAGCGGATTATTCTCGAGAATCTCTGGGACCATTGTTCAGTTGACACCATGAACAACGATCAGTTCCGCAAGCTTGTTGTTGGCAGTGGGACCAAGTCCCCGGCCAGCGCGCAGGATGGAATGTCTCCGCCACCGCCGTCTCGAGGTGGGAGTGCCGCCGCAGCTTTGGGCTCGCGACAGAAGTCTTTTGTGCCCATGACCCCGTAAGTTCTCAGAGCCAATACACCTTCTCCTTTCACAGTGGCAACCTGTTATCTGACCGCATACTTCAGGAGGTCCGTAATGGGGGGTGGAGGAGTCAACTTTGCGAAACAGCTCGCCGAACGAAACCAAGCGAACCAGAAGCAGAAGAAGTTCCGGACGTCTGCCCCGAGGGGGAGCAGACTTGCCGAAGGCTATACCGACCGCTCAAAAGCTACCGCAGAAGCAGAAGAGGACGACCGTGCCGAGAGATTGAAGGCCCTCGAAGAGTCGTTCCGGAAAGAAGAGATCGACCAGACTACGTATGAGAAGTTGCGGTTTGAGATTGCGGGAGGCGATCTGTCGAGTACACACCTGGTGAAAGGCCTCGACTTCAAGCTCCTGGAAAGGATACGAAAGGGAGAAGACGTCTACGCGGAGAAGAAGGCCCCTTCACCCACGGAAGAGCAAGAGCCAGAAGCCGAAAATGCGCCCGAGGAGGACGTAGACGATGCCCTCGAGCGTCTTGAAGATACCGAGGTCCAGGCCGTGGAGAGACAAAAGGCGCAGAAGAAGGGCCAACTGGCAACCACGTCGCTCGTCCCGGGCAAGAAGCGAACGCGTGATCAGATCCTGGCTGAGATGAAGGCGGCAAGAGAAGCAGCAAAGGCCAAGGAGGAGTCTGCGCTGGGCGGCAAATTCAAGAAGATCGGCGCGAAAAAGGCAGCTGGGTCTCGAATCGAGTATGACAGTAGAGGCAGGGAGGTGCTGATCATCGTTGACGAAGACGGTCACGAGAAGAGAAAAGTCCGGAAGGTCAACCCGGACGAGGCAAAGGAGCGTGCCGCCTTTGTACCAGACAGCCAGGCCGAGGTGTTGGGCATGGAAGTGCCCGAGTACTACAAGCAGAAACAGCAACGCGAAGCTGAAGAGGCAGCAGCAAAAGAAGTCGACATCTTCGATGATGCAGATGACTACGACCCCTTGGCTGGTATTGATTCGGGCTCCGATGCATCAGATTCGGAAGATGAGGGTGCAAAATCAAAGGCGCAAGCTTCAGCAGAAGAATCGCACGAGGGTGAGGACGGTGAGGTTGTCGAGGAACCAGCGTCCAAGGGCATGCCACCACCCCCCAGGCCGCAAGCTGGCCCCGCCTCGAGAAATTACTTCAAAGACTCAAAGACGGGTCTCGCCTCAGAAGAATCTCGCGCGGCTCCGTCCATGTCAGATCCTGCCGTGCTCGCTGCGTTGAAGAAGGCCAAGACGCTCAGGGCGGCCGAGCAGTCGGAAGAGGACAAGAGGAAGGCAGAGAGGGAGGAGAGGCTCAAAAAGCTATTAGAGAGTAGCAACCGGGACGCGGAAGATATGGATATGGGTTTCGGCAGCAGTAGAGTGGAGGACGAGGCTGACTTGGATGACGGCGATGTCAAGTTATCGAAATGGGGAGGCGACAAGGCTGGAGGTGAGTCGGGAGGCGGCGGAGGCAAACGGAAGAGGGGCTCTAAGAAGCGGAAAGGGGACGGCAACAATGCCGAAGATGTCATGCGCGTGTTGGAACAAAGGCGATCCAAGGAGTCGTCGTCACATTGAATGGTTGGGTGTGGTCTTGGCATGATTAGATTTGCGTAGTGACATCAAGATAGCCGAAGCCTTGAGGGTTTGGGAGACAATCAGACTCTTTGCAAACTCTAAACCCCTTTCGCTGAATCAACCTTTAAACTGAATCAACGTTTGATACCATTGCAGCAATCTGATCAGTTTCCATTTCTTGGAGACAAACACACCTAGGTCAGTGCCGATTACTCAAAGACCGCCAATGAGAATAGCGCGAAAGCTGAAGAACCCACTTCACGTAATAGTTATCGGACAATGCCCGACACTCCTCAACCTAAGCAATCTACTATCTCTATATCAATGAAAGCGATCGCCTGCTTCTTATCCTTATCTCGTCGAGCATCTTGACAACCGGTTCAGTTGATACGGAGTGCCCTTACTTGAGAGAGGCGGCTTCGCTTAGATCGTCGTTATTGTTGTTGCGTTCCCTGGGTCTTCTTCCGTGAAGAGTTGCAAGGTGTCAACAAGATGAGCCCGCAGGTTCCCGTCCCGCTCTGGCTGGACTGCGATCCTGGCCACGATGTAAGTTGGCGGCCCATCTGCTTGCTTGGCCTCAAAGAGAGACATGCCCGATTGCCTCGTTTCGTCTTTGCAGCGACCATCAGGGGTAGGGAGGTTGCTGAGTCGGAGTCGCCTCCCGCTATCACAACCCCTCACTCACATCTTATCCCTCCCCCGGGCGACCTTACCCGTCATGCCTTAACAAAGACACTAATTCTCTATATCTCTCAAAAGGACGCATTCGCTATCCTCCTAGCGGCATATCACCCCGCTATCAGGCTGCTCGGCATCTCCACCGTCTTCGGCAACGCCTCCCTCAAGTAAGTGCGCCGCTCCTTCCGGGGCCCCCCTCCCGCCGCTCCCGGGATGGGCCCGGGCATCGGCCCTCTACCGGACTCTAAACCCCCGGGGGACTAACAATCCACACACCCCCAACGCAGAAACACAACCTACAACGCCCGGTCCATCCTCACCGCCATCGGCAAGCACACCTCGGTCAAGGTCTACCCGGGCGCCGCCAAGGCCCTCGCCCGGGAGGAGCTCCACGCCCCGACCGACATCCACGGCGAGTCCGGGCTCGACGGCACGGCCCTGCTGCCCCCGCCGCAGTGCGAGGCCGACACCTCCGTGCCGGCCGTCGACGCCATGGCCGCCGCCCTGCGCGCCCAGCCCGCCGGCACGGCCTGGGTCGTCGCGACGGGCTGCATGACCAACGTGGCCGCGCTGTTCCGGCGGCACCCGGACCTCGCGGCCCGCGTGGCGGGAGTGTCGGCCATGGGCGGCGCCGTCGGCGGCGACTTCACGCCCGCGCCCCGGGGCGAGGTCGACGGCGCCGAGCGCATCGGCAACTGGACGCCCTTTGCCGAGTTCAACATCCTCGCCGACCCCGAGGCCGCGGCCTTCGTCCTGCAGCACCCGGTCCTGGCGCCCAAGACGACCCTCGTCCCGCTCGACATCACGCACCTCGTCCTCGCGACCGCCGAGGTGCAGGAGCTGCTGCTCTACGGGCCGCCGTCGCCGGCCGAGGGCGACGACCGGGTCGCCGCGCGGGAGCAGCGCTCCGGGCCGGGCAGGTCGACGCTGCGCCGCATGCTCGTCGAGCTGCTCAACTTCTTCGCCGACACGTACGCGCGCGTCTTCGGCATCGCCGAGGGCCCGCCGCTGCACGACCCCATCGCCGTGGCCGTCGCGCTCATCGGCCTGCCCGGCGGGCACGAGATCCCCTTTTACGAGTACGACCCGCGCCTCGGCGGCGACGACGAGGCGGCGGCGGCGGCTGTGAACAAGCGCGAGAGGTTCGACGTCACGGTCGTCACGGAGGGGACGTACGCCGAGGCCAAGGTCGGGGCGCAGACGGGGCGGACCGTGGCCAAGCTGCTGCCCCCCGGGTCCGAAGGGGTGAGGATCCCTCGCTCGTTGGATATCCCGCGCTTCTGGAGGGTGATCGAGGAGTGCTTGGAGAGGGCTGACGAGGCCAATGCCAAGAATGGCGTTTACTGATGGATACATGTAGAACCTGCAAGGGGGCTGCATCGTTGTTAGAGCTGGATTCTCATAGACAAAAAAGAAAGTCATCATGACTGCAGTCATCCCGGATCTCGAGGGCCCAATATGGACCACACAGTGTCGTTCAGGTTGTGCATGTAGCAATGGCTGTTCACTGTTGGACTGGATTTCATCTCATTTGCTAGCTAACTATTATTCCTATCATCGGAACCTTTGTCCATTAGCAACATAAACCCCCTACCTCGGAACGAGGCTCATCACAAGGTTAGTAATAATACATGAGAAGAGACCAATGCAAGTGGTATTCAAAACGAAGAGGGCCAAAGCCGCTCATGCAAGATGCTATCAATGCTCAGCCACGGCGTAAAGCCAGTGACATAGAAAGGGATTCGACGCTGAAAAGAAAAAGCCATCATAAAAGAGAGATGGTGCACAATAACAAGAACTGTACGTGAGTCGATCATGCCCATGGGCCAGAAAATCATGAAAACATCCAAGAGAGTAAAAGTGAAGGAAGAAAACTGGAATGTCGTCGGTAAGAGAAGATAGCATCCAAGGATGTCGTACAAGTACAGCAGGTGTGGTCGAATGGTATGTGTGGCGGAGAGCGATCGTGGGTTACGGACATGCTTGCAGGTCCTAATACAATCAAGGTACGAAATAGAGTCGTGAAGAGCTCAACAGAGCGTTCCGCAGCTGTTTGCGGTCAGAGGTCGCCCATCCAGGGACGATAAAGTGCACAAACTCAGGCCTGCGCGAGTGAAGGTCCGGCCCGGTTGTATGAGGTTGGGAGCAGATGAGAAATGGGCTTGTGCAGAAGAGAGAGAGAGATCGATTTGTCGAGGAACTATCATTATCCAGTCATGAACCATCAGCTCGCAGGTAGCGGAGATCAGATCTGCGCTCCCTTGCCTCGTGTCAACTGGCTAAGACTCAGCGTTCTCGCAGCTCTCTTTCTCTGGGGATCTTCGCCCTCGTTCTCGTTCTCATCTCGGAGCTCCTCGCCAAAAGCCCCGTACTGAGGCGGGGCCATCTCTTCTCTCGGAGTCAAGAATGCGTCCGAGGGCGTAGCCGATCCAGTGTGTGATGTCTTCTTCTTGATCTCGTCCAGATCGCTGTCGTCCTCAAAAATGGAATGCGGCTTGCCAACGGGTGGTGACCTCAGAGGCGGCACCGGAGGCGTCGTGCTCGACGGCGTGTTGGCAACAGCAGACTTGAGACGCTCGTGGCTTCGCGACTTCTGGGGATCGCGGACCATGGCGAACATGGTGGTCGAGAGCAAATTGAGGCGTTCACTCAGCTTCTTGACTTGAGCTTCGAGGGCTTGACGAGCAGCCCGCTCGGCCTCGAGCTCGGCGACCACGTTCGTTTCGCTGTTCTCGTCGGGAGGGGTGCGGGAACCACCGATAGTAGGCATACTGACAGCAGGTCGGACGGTTGTGGTTGATGTAGGGCGATCGCCGGGCGAGAGCTGAGTAGCCAGAGGCTGAGCCCGGGTCTGTGTGGCAGAGCTCGAAGGAGGGTGAAGGCTGCCGATGTACGTTTGCCCCTCGCCGAAGGACATGCGCGATGAGTGGGCATCAGTATCATCAGCCGAGTGGCGACTACTACTATAACGAGACGAGCTTCCATTGCCACCTTTCAGGTCCGCCACGATTGTTTGGTAGATCGCTGGAATCGTCGGCGGAGCAACGTTGGAATAGGCGAAGGGCTGGTCTGGGAAAGCCGGTACAGAACGAGGGATCTGATCTGATTGCTGCACTTCCATGAGCGGAGCTTTGAACCCGGGCACCGTGTGGCATAGCTGCTCGACGACCCGCTCTATTCTGTGCACTCGGCCCTCAAGTGTGCCTATCCTAGTCTCCATATTGGCGGCCTGGGTTATCCTCATGCCGGCCATCTCGTTCATGTTGGCCATGTTCCCAAAGCTGAACGGCTGGGGCGGCGTAGTGGGAGTGCGCTCGACAGCGGGCGAGTCTGGGAGCGCGAATGAAGGAGCACCAGTATCGTCGTTGTCGCCATTGCCAGATGAAATGGGCGACATTGGGCCGGGATAACTCTCTCGCCAGTATCGAATTTCGTCGCTGCGTCTCCTCATGGAAGTCCGGTTGTCAGCAGCCTCTTGCAGCCCAGACATTGACCTCGAGCGTCGCCGGTGGCCAATCTCACTACCAAATGCATCAGAGGTGATGGCCCTGCCGATCTGGCTGGGGTCATCGTCATTCGCTGTGAGATGGCTGCCCCGCCCATGGGTGCTCGCTGGTCGCGGGGACAGGCCAAGGTGCTCGCCGAGCTCTCCCCTCCGCTGTAGCAAAAGCCGGCTTGTGGTAGTCACGGCTCTCCTTCGAGTGGGACTACCATCGGCATGAAGCGAGTTTCTGGCGGTCTCTATGGCGGTCATGTCATGCGGCCCTATCGAATGGGACCGCAGAGCCCGATCAAATTCGGTGATGGGTAGCGACGCAGATCGCTTCGGCTCACCAAGATTTGTTCTACTTAGAGCAGAAGGATCCTGAGTGAAGGAAACGTGTGAGAATCTGTACGCAGCTGCGTCTGGAAGTATATAGGGTGCAGTATGGGGACTTACACTACGATGTTGGGGGCCAGTGGCCAGTCCTGCATCGCGAGCCACCTCGTTCGAGCCCTGACTTGCCGACTTCTTCTTCCGCCCGAAGAGTTTGCTGAGAGCGCCACGGAGCGTCGACTTCTTCCTCTGCGGCTGGCCGTCTTTGGCTTGCCCAGTGTGTGCAGTCGAGACGGAGCTGATTTGGGAGTAGCGAAGCGTGCTTGACGGGTTGGTCCGATGGCGAGGTGGAGATTGCCTTGGCGCCGGAGTAGGTGCCTCGGGAGATGGGGTGGACGCCGCGGGAGGAGGCGCCGGAGGCGGGTTGGCGGGTGGCTCCGGAGCCATGCTCTGTGCGACGTCCCGAGAACTGCCCGAGCCGTCCGTGCCGTCGCCGCCCTGCGGCTGCTGCGCCTCGGCATGCGGCGGTTTGATAGCATCGGTGCTGGACTGCTCTGCTTCCTCGTCGAACGGCGTGGGGCTAGCAATACCGGCCCCGCGTTGCCGAATAGGAAACTCTTCATCGGCCGTCTTAGCGGCGATGCCAGTCCCCGGATTGCGTATCGGAAACTCGTCGTCGTCGCCAGGGCTAGGAATGGGGATTGGACCGGATATCCTGCCCCGGATCGACTGGCGCGCCGTCCTTGGCCTCTGGGACGCAGTCGATGAAGGTCTGAAGAGCCCGACCTTCATCTTTGGTGATATCTCCTGTGGAGGGAGGGGTCAAATCAGAGAGATCGGAGGATTGGTCGGGAGGGAGATGGATTATTGGAGATGGAGAGGTGGTGAGAGTGCTCGAACTCTTCCGCTCCAGTCCATCGGGTGCGTGGGCGCGAGCGAGCTTGTAAATCAAATAACGATCGTGGTGGTGTATGGCTGATATGATAGCCCTCAAAGTCTCGCTATGAGGTCTTCTGCTGGTCTCCCGATCCACATGGCCAGCACTGCGGCTCAAGAGCGTCCGAAGGAGGGCAGCGTTCTCTAACGGCCCCGAAGCCCAAGATCCGGACGGGTGCCCTTCCCGATGGATCAATGGGAAAAAGAACAGCTCGACCGTGGTCGAATCAAGAACGGATGTGGGAGGGTCTGGGTGACGACAGGAGGGACTGGGCAGTGTTTAAAGGCAGTCGATGGGCAGCACGACACACCCCAGCCACTGGTGCTGGTGTCATGGCTACAGTTTGCGACGGTGGGTTTACATTTCAAGCAGATGGACAAGGACAGCCAGGGACATGACAAGGATCAGACAACGCACTGGTGCCCAGAGAGGTAAGGTGACTAGAAAATAGCCACAGCGGCGTCTGGTAGGACCGGCAGGTTATGCAAGAGACAGCGGCAGCTCCAGATGTACCTACGTATGAAACATTAGGGCTCTCTCCAATGAGAGGAAGGACATGATGGACGATGTTGACCAAGGCTCGACCTAGCTGCGTTGCAATGCGCCGAGGGTGGGAGGAAAAGCCATGCAGAACAGGGATAGCAAGGACCGGTCGGATGAGACGAAGTGGATGTGGATGCATGGGGCCAGCAGACAGGGAGGGGTTTACGCATGCGTCGAGTCGCAGGGGTGGAGAAGGGGTGCCCTGGTCCGGGCTTGACCAGTTTGGGCACTGATACCTCCTGAGAGACAGTCAGTCTCGAAGCTCGACGTCTGTGTGTTTTCCTAGTGGCTTTTCAGAGTTGAGTTGGGGTTCATGACTGGAAAAGACGAGGAGGCATGGAGGGCATACCGGAGCAAGGAGTCCACCAGCGAGCTGTACAAGTAGAGACAGGTCAGGCCGGCCAGGTAGCTGCTCCGTCCTACGTCGTCAATGGCTGCTGTGGCCACATGCCTAGTGCATTAGCTTGCTTCCCGAGCCGCCAGCATGTAGAGCTGCCACAAGCAAGCAAGGAAGCAAGCTGCAGAGGGTAAAGGATGCACATGTCCTGCCCACTCGAAGAGAAATGAGCAGGCGGGCGGCGGGCATGTGTTGTGCGTGCGTGCGCGGACGGAGGAACTATTGAACATCTAGGTACTTTGTAAGCGAACAGTATTCAGCTGCAAAGAATAGGAGTTCGTATGGAGCAAGTCAATGTCGCAGCTATTCTTACCAAGTCGGAATAGCCCAGACTTGAAGTGTATGCAGCGTGTAAATGACGGGTGGAGAAGATGGAGAAGCTCGATGGATGGTCAGCTAGATGGCTCCCGCTAGAGCGGAGACTTCAGAGCTTAAGAAAGCCACTAAAAGAGGACCGCGGGGCATGCCGCCAGTTCCGGATAAGGTCGTTCTAGCAGGTGGTCTGGTTGGAGATTCACACGCCGTCCATGGCATAGAGGGCCGTGTCTATTGGTTCTTCACCGACTCCAGTAGTTAGGTAGCTGTTGACAGCAGCTGAAGTTCTGTGTCCTTATCACAGCTGTGCCAGGCAAGGAAGTCGGGCCAAGGTTGGCACTATTGGACGCCTCGGTGATATCTGCTGAAGAGCTACATCCACGAGAGACATCCGGACATCCAGCAAGCCGGGGAAGGATGCTTCCAAGGTCGAGGACCCGACGAGTCCGGTAGGTACGCAATATCTCCGCATTGATGGGAGCCCGGGAGGGGGCTTTGTCAGGATGTCTCAAAGTCTGGCAGGCCGCTGAGGAAGCGAAAAGGCAAATTAGCCAGGCGAGCCTCAGCACCCACCAGCATCCCACTTTCCTGCTATCGTCATCCACATGACCGCGTGCAGATGCTGTGTGGTAGTTGTATGGGCGACGGGCGGGCCCCGGTAGCGAGTTCAGATCAAGATATCGCGCGCCACTCCCGTTGATCAGCACTGTGGATGCACCCAGGCTCATCAACTGTTTGGTTGCAGGTAGTAGTAGACAGCGCGCATAGTATCGGACGATGCGCAGCCTCTCGACCCGAACCAAACCTGCCACTCGCCTCGAGGCAAAAGACGACACTAGCGGGCACCAACAGGGTCTGATCCGGGCCGTTGAGTTGATGCTTCAAGTGTGGTGTTGGTGTTGGTGTTGGTGCCGGCATCTCACTTGGGTCACATTTTGAGGAGTGTGCAGATAGACCAGAGCTGCAGCCGGCGATGAATAGTGCATGATAGGCTGGCACGCCCAGTTGAGAAGCGCGCGAGCTTGTTTGTTTGTCCGAGCCTGCTGCAGCTGCAGCTCGTATTTGACCAGCAATGGCTGGGCGAGGGATTCAAGTGCGCGTGGTTGGTGTGATGCCGCACCCAGGCTAATTTTGGCAGTGTAAAAAAGCGCCGACAGGTTGACAAAGTGAGGACAGCCGTGGAAGGGCAAGATGCCGTATGCCAGCGTCCAGATGAGGCAGGTAGGACCACTGTCGCCAGAAAAAGCAGGAAGCGCGTCGCATGGGATCCTTCCTTCTTTACTAACCTAACTCCGTACTGTACTTTCGACAACGACAAGATCGCACTAGAATAGCGGAGTGGCATAGGTATTCCATCCATGGCTGTTCATCTCAGCCCTTCAATCATTAACACACTCCAATATTGGGGGTACTATCGCAACCAGGTCAGGGCTTCCCAATCGCACTTTTAAGCTGCTGCAGCTTCGCACGGTTGCCCAGCTCACCGGACTCGGGCCAAACTGCTTTTATCAGAGAACCCTGTCTTAAGATCTTCATCTCGTAATTTGCCCGGCAAGCAGGCCCCTGCTCAACCGCCCGCTGCACCAAAGTCGCGGTCCAGGCCCTTGGAGAGCCAGCTGTGATCCTGACGATGCGTGGGGATCACAAGTACAAGTAATTATCTCGCCGGGTCAGATGGGACCGGGTATGCTCTCTCTATGTACCTCCTCGCTGCGTATTGCGGCTCTTATAGCCTGAATCACTCGAGACGAAAAGAAGGCAGTCTTCGTCGGCGCTGTCTTTCCATGCCTTTCTCAGAGATGAACCGCCGAAACCAGCCCTATATGAGAACCGGTCGCTCGTGCTATGATCTCCTTGATATAACTACCTATATCACTGCACCACATTTACACGCCTTGAGGCTATGTATGCACCTCATGCATGACATCAGCTAGATAGGAACCGCAGATCAAATCAGCTTGGTTCAGGTGCAGCCTTCCTTTCCTTCTCCTCGACATGGACATACATCGAGAACCCTTTTCGAGGTTCGTTGCGAATGCCTTCTCAATCCCAAGCCGGAAAGGATCCCTTTCGGGGCTGTGTGTGCTTCACGATACGGGGTACGTTACTGCTTCGAGGACCCCCCTGTCCACCACCCCTCTCCTTGTATGAGTTTGCACGGACCTCGCTGCACAGCAAAAAAGAAGCAAAATGAGCACCAGCTCGAAACAGCGCTGCAGAAAGCACCAGGTCTGAGACCTGTATGAGGCAGTGGCTCGGTTTCTTGAGTATAGATTTGAAGCCTAGATACTCGACAGCAAACTCGACGAGCCCGTCACGTCTCCGAAGGCTCTGCCCCATTGAGCTTTCATGCTGATTCTGCCTGTACTTGTATTGCAGGCAAGCCCTGCTCCGCCAGCCAGGATCCTCTCTTCCCCGAAGCCAAGGGTCCTGACCACCTGAAACACGCCAACCGGGGCATGGGAGGTGGCCAGTAAGCTCTGGGTCGGACACATCGTCATCTCACTAAGAACAACCACGCCGGCCGCAATGTGGCTCGTCCGCGAGATTCTCTTTTTGCCCCGATGTAACTAACTAAAATGCTACGGGTTGCCGGGACAGGCTGGCCCTTGCGCATGTCGAAGTTTTCTTCCCAGCCAGAATGTTTGAGCAGCCGGGACGGCTCGCGTGGTCGAGGGCCAGGGGTCAACCTTGCACTGCCTTGTGACAGCCAGGGGACACACGCGCGCCCGAGTCTGCATCTAAGGTCGCCGATGACATTCTTTGCGGTCGTAGTTGTCGCTCCGACATGTGAATTGTAAATACTTTCGTACACATCTTCGCCTCTTGATACTCTCTTCTCACGCTCCAGAGATCAAGGTGGAGACGTCGGGATATCTCAGGTCTGCATGCTCCTCCAGGAACTCCATCCACCTCTTCAGGAACTTGCTCCCCCTGGACGTGTCCCAAAACGCCAACAGTTAGTCCAAAACTGATTTCATATCTGCAAGTGTCTCAAAAGCATGCACATCATCATCACCACCCCGTGCAGGAGGACCATCGCAACGAAACAGCAAAACGGGTGCTCAACGTACCTCTTGACGGTTTCCGAGTCTCCAATCACGGTCAGAGAGCGCTTCGGCCGTGTCATGGCCACTGGGGGTCGTAAAATGTCAACAAACAAAGCTCTCTATTCTATCATGGAGAAGTCCAAAAGAGGGGGGGGGGGGGAAACCGTACCGTTGAGCCGGCGCTTCTCGCCGAGGAATCCCACCTCGCCGTCGGCGTTGCTGCGCACCAGGCAGACAATGACAGCCTCCTTCTCGCGGCCCTGGAAGCCATCCACGCTGCCCAGCTCGATGCCAGGGAAAGCCTCTTTGAGAGGCGCGAGCAAACCAAGCTATTGAACCGTAAGCACACGCTCCTCTCTTTTCCTTCGTTCGCAAGGGGGGCAAGGTAAGGCATATATATATATATACATACCTGTGCATTGTAAGGTGTCACAACAGCTACGTCCTCAGGCTTGACACCGGCATCCACCAGCCCCTGGACGTGCTGCCTGACCAGCAAGGCCTCCATCTCGTTGCTCTTGCTCTCCCCGTGGAGACTCCTGATCTTCCCCGTGCTGTCTTCCTCCTCGTTCTTCTCGGGGAAGTCCCCGCCCTGGGTGTCGATGAAGATCAGCGGCTCTCGCGTCTCGTCGTTGTCCGCGACCTCGTAGGGGAGGTCCTTCAGGAGCCGGTCCTTGACGCCCTCGGCCGCGACCAGCTTGGACTCGTACAGCTCGCCCGAGGGGAACCGCATGATCTTCTCGTGCATCCGGTACTGCGTGGTGAGCATGCGCTTGATGCCGGGCCCGTGCAGCGCCAGCAGCCGGTCAAACAGCGTGGTCTCGAGCGTCGCCCCCTTGACGACGACGTCCGGGGCGACCCCCCCGTCTCCCGCCTCGCCCGCCCTGCTGCCGCCGCCGCCGCTCTTGGAGTTGAGCGACTTGATCGTCGGCGGCAGCTGCAGGTGGTCGCCGGCGCACACGGCCTTGCTGGCCGCCAGCAGCGGCACCCAGCACTGCGCCTCGAGCGCCTGGCTCGCCTCGTCGACGACCACGACGTCAAACTCCTCGTGCCGGACCTGGGGCCCGCCCGCGCCGTGCAGCGTGGCCAGCACGACCCTGCTGCCCGCCACGAGGCTGGCGACGCACTTCCTCTCGCGCTCGCGGTACTCGCGCCGCAGCTCCTTGAGGTCGGCGTAGATGAGCCGGCGCTCGCGGCCGCTGCGCGTCTTCTTGACCGAGGCCTGCCGGGCGTCCATCTCGGCGCGGACGTCGCGGACGATGGCGCCGGCCTCGGACGTCTGCGTCAGCACGTCGAGCGAGTGGCTCAGCACCGAGGGCAGCAGGCGCGCCGGGTGGCCGAGGCGCAGGATGGGGACCTTGTGCGGCGCGAGGCGCTCGACGATGTTGTCGACCGAGATGTTGGAGGGCCCGCAGACGAGGATGCGCTGGCCGCGCTTGACGAGCTGGAGGATGAGCTCGATGAGGGTGTGTGTCTTGCCGGTCTGGGGAAGGGGGGAGGGGGGGGGGAAACGGTGTGTTAGTCTGATGTATGAGTGTATAGCTGTACGTACAGGTTCTGCAGGTGGGACTTACACCGGGCGGGCCGTGAATCAGAGCAATTTCTCTAGACGCCAGCGCGAACCTGACCGCTTCCTTTTGTGAGTCGTTCAACGTCGGGTCGAACCACTCCAGCCTGCCGACGTCCTCATCGGCCGCCAGGTCCTCCGGCACCGGCGAGGGCGAAGACAGCCCGAACAGGACCCGCGTGAAGCTCGAGTACTCGGCCTCGCTCATCTTTTGCAGCTTCTCCATCGTGAAGTTCATCCTGGGCCGGGTTTGATTTCCCTCACAATCAACAACTCTCGCTCTTTCTTATTTTCCCCAACCCAACCCAACCCAACCCAAGGAAGGCAATAAAAAAAAGAAAAGACTCACCTCCGATACGTAACATCATCCGCCAACTTGACCATCCACACCCGCCCGCCCAGCACCGCATCCTCGTCCCCGCCGTCAGCGCCCCCTTTCCCGTCCGCGCCGCCGCCACCACCGTCCAGCGCGACGCTCACGTCCGCCCTGCGCGTCCGCACCACCACGCCCTTGACCCCCCGGCGCTCCATCTCCTTCATCTCGCGGCGCTTCGCCGCCCCCGCCGGCTGCGCCGCCACGAGCACGATGTCGCCCGTCCGCAGGCCGTGCTCGGGCAGCTGGGCCCCTCCCCCTCCCGATGAGCCAGGACTGCTGGTGGTGGTGGTGGTGGTGGTGGCAGTAGCGGGGTCGGCCGACAGCTCGACGACAGTGCGGCCGCCCATGCCCGTGCGCCGGCCCGAGAGGACGAGGTTGGTCAGGGCCAGGCCGGAGCGCTGCAGGGCCTGCGGGGAGTGGGCGGCGACGAGGTCGGCCGTCTCGGCGATCTCGGACCGGAGCTCCCGCGCGAGGAGGGCGAGCTGGGCGCTCGCGAACTGGGGGACGTCGACGGGCTTGGGGGCCATTGGGTTTTCAAATGTATGAGATACACGAGATGAAGATGGAATCCAGTGTGGGAAGGAGAAGGGACCCCGCGGTGGGAAAAAGAAGGCTGCTGTTTAAGATTCTGTGCGTGATGAGATTGAGATTGAGTAGTTCCTTTCGCTTTTGGATCTTTAGAATCGTCAATGTCTGGCTGCTGCGAGGTCTGATATGCAGTTTGCAAGTTTGTTGTTTGTAAATCGAGCTAGATACTAGGTAGAGTCTGTCGATTCTATCTAAGTGAACCGGTGGTTCATCTGTCCAAATTTGGTAACCCCGCCCGCCTCTCATCGCACCTGTCTGAGCTTATTACTATTACCAGCCTTCTCGAAGGATTGGTTGGAGCATTCATCAGCCAACGCGCTTGAACGAACACACGTATTGAATAAGAGTACTACGATATCGATATCCAGGGTTGTATCGCATGCTTTTTTCTTCTCGCTACTAGTAGAGTCTCAGCTTCGATGGCTTGGGTCTTGCGACAGCATTCTTCGCCAGCTAGAGTGTCTGAGGAGAGATATCACACAGCCAATCTAAACAGAATTTCAGAGCTTCCATCCCCCCCTCCCCCAAACCAGCATTTCATCAATATGGTCATAGACGACACCACCAATGCAAGAGAAGCAGAACCAAGTATGCAAAGCCCAATGCAGGGGGGGGGCAGGTGCCGACCTCGAGTCCCGTCACCAAGCTCAACCCAAACGCCTGAACAAACAAACGCCTGCTTCTCGAAACAAGCAAAAGAGTCCTCCCTCAACACTCCAACACACAAAAAGTCCCCTCCCCCTCGAAACATCACATTAAAAGCAGTCCATCTCTCAGCTCTCCACCGAGTGAGGCTGCACGACAACGACCACGATCAAGGACGAGACCATGAGGGCAAACGCCACGAGGGTCACGAGGATGACGGTGCCCCTGCTGGCGGGGAACTTGCCCTTCATGATCCACTTCTGGCTCGTGAAGTAGCGCCGGTAGCCGAGGAACAGCATCAGGATGCTGATGGCCAGGAAGGTCACGCCGAGGGGCTTGCCGACCTGGCGCAGCGTGTCGCGGCCGCCCGAGGCCGGGCTGCCGCCGGCGAAGGACGTGTTGAGCCGGAAGAGCTGCGTGATGGCGACGCCGATGGAGGCGAAGGCCAGGGACGTCCGGAGCCAGGCCAGGAATGTCCGTTCTAAGAAGCAGCAAGCGTTTTTAGCATGTACGAGTGCTTGTTAGGTCGTAATACCCCCCGAGGCCCGAGGAGGGGAGGAGGAGGAGGAGGAGTAGGTCCCTCTACATACCTAGTGCCAGATGGTCCCTCGCGACGCTGCCCTTGTTCTCCAGCTCGATGGACTGGAAATTGGCCCATATCCGCTGCCACAGGCCCTGGCTCGCCACGTCCGCGCCGTCGCGCCGGTCCGCGCCACCATTGACGGCGGCAGCAGCAGCAGCAGCACCATCATCGGCGCCGGGCGTCCCCACGGCCGGCGGCGGCAGCACCGGCGAGAGGCCGCTGTTGTTGCGGCTCACATTGGTCGGCGTGCGCCTAGCCCGGGGGCCGGCATGGTCCTGCAGGGTGCTCGAGTAGTTGACGTGGCGGGCCCGGCCGCCCCGGCCGCCCCGGCCGCCCATCATGATGCCGGTGGTCTCGTCGGCGCTGCTGTCATGGTCCATGATGCCGCGCACGGGGGCCGACTGCCCGCGGGAGAGGGGGTACAGCTGTGGTGAGCGCTGGTGCAACGTCTCGGCGCGCTCGAGGCCGGTCTGGAGGGTTGCGCGCGCAACAGGCGCAGGTTAGTAAACAGAGGCCGACCGATATGGGTAGTGAGGTCGGACGGCAGGACTGTAGAGAAGGGCAGATCGGAGGGCCAAGTAAGAGAAATAGAGATGATTAGAGAAGGAAGAAAATAAGAAACAAAGTCAATCCCAGTTGCATATTCAACGGTCATCAGGGTCCCATGTCCAGCAGGTGACTGCCAAGGACCGGACCGATGTACATATGGCGCAAGAGAAGCCAAAAGTTACGGGTAAAGCCACCAGGCGCATGGGGGTGCATGGGTTGCGGAGGTTACGTTGCTGGGCCCCGGGGAAGCCCGGCAGGGGGGAAAGGCAAGCCTCACCTCGATAATGTCATTGATCCTGTCCTGGGTGGACTGGCGCCTCAGGATGCCCGGGCGAGGTGACGGCGGGTTGCCCTGCGCGGACTGACGACGTCTGGGTGGGCCGGCGGACGACGAGGAAGACTGCGGCGGAGGAGGCGCCGCCTTGGAGGACGAGGAGGAGGACGCCTGCTCGGCCATTGTCGCGAACCGGGCCCTCTCATGCGGACACAAGCTCTCTCCACACACGTCAGCTACGCGCTGAAATGCGCCAGAGACAAGCGATCCGCACGAGGCCACGCGCGCGCAGGGGGGAGGGTGAGCTTGCGTCTCGGGGCGGGATATGATGCAATCAGGCCGGCTCGTCGCGTGCTTTTTTTTTTCTTTCCCTTTGGGGCGCGTGTGCGGCAGGTGTGAGGGAAAGGAAAGCCAAGGAGGAGATGCCGGGGCGAGGGACACAGCTGGAACGGATCGCAAAACCGCTCTCTCTTCCTCTCTCGTTATGCTCTCTCGCTCTGTCAGTTTGCGCAGTGCGTGCAGCGGCAATGCGGCAATCGGCAATGCGACAAGTGACAAAACATTGCGGAGAAGGCTCCTCCTACTCCTCCATCCATGGATGTCTCAACTCGTCGCGGCGAGGTGCGGCAGCTGGGCGAATTGGAGGCGCTATTCGGTAGTGGTGGGTACCCTGACTTTCGGGCCTCTCTCTCTCCATCCATTCCACTCATCCTGGCAGGGTCGGCACCTCCCAGGTCATCTGCTTAGTCTCACGAGCCATGAGGACCTGGGCTTCTCCATCGCCAGCCTTGAACAGCTGTCTGATAGGCCATACTTGCCACCGTACCACCGTGTTTCCTCAGGATCCTGCCGGCCAAGACCGCTCGACGGCACTTTTCCCGGGGAGCTGGTCGGTCTGTCTGCCTGCCTAGCGCTGGGCTCGTGGGCTGGCTGGGGTTTGGTCGGGTATGCTACCCCCCCCCACTGCCTGTCTGTGATCTGTGATCAAGGGCGGCATGCGAAATGCTACCTAGGTAGGTATGATGCGAGGGATATGGGGAAGAGAAAGACAGAGAGGATCAGCCAGCCCGCAATCAGAGGCTCGCCCAAGCCGTCCCGGCACTACAAAGTAAGCTTGTTCCTGTTTGGATGGGTCCTCCCGGCTGTCACAAGCTGCAGCAGCAGCTTCATTCGAGGTGGGAACTGCGGCTTGGGCCGGGGGTATCTGCGTTGACCGTGTTTTCTCAAGGACGCTGTATCTCCAACAACAACAACAACAACAGGTTGTCGACCCCAGTCACCAATCCAAAGCCTCGTTTGAAGGGTTATACTCAATGTAAATCTCTACATCTCTGGCAGAATGGTCTGTCTCCCTGTCAAACAGTTGCGCTGCGCTCTGTGGTCCGGCCAGAACGGCATCCGTTTTGGGTGCTGGTCGCCGGAGACGGCATCTCAGAGTCGCAGCTAACAACCCCCGACTGCCGATTCCCAGGCACGGCGGACGGCAGCTAAAAGCACCAATCTGCGACGAGCTGCCCTGCAAGTCCGGAGTTAATTGCCTTCACCACCCAACATCGACTAAACTCCGCCTTCATCATGGCCACGACGAAAGTGTCTTGCTCGAGGGATTGGCCAATGACAGCTAAAATTCAGTCTAGCAGATCGTGGCCTTCGGAAATAAAGTGACCGGGTGAAATGCCGAGTGACATTGATGCTTTTGAGCAACCTGCAGAGACATCACGAACCCATCACCCCGGCTCTGGACACACTGAGACGGGTTCCTGCCCTGAAAACTCGATTGCTGGAGACGATAGAGCCCCTGTCTCAGTGCGAGAGCCTCCTGGGCTTATCTCCAGGATATACATTGAATGCCCTCTCCATTTAGTCCCATATTCGACTTATTATGCCCGTGTTGAGACGTGAATTCGCCCACGACTAGCGCTGGCCATGAACGGCACAACCAGGGACCGTGGCCCGATCACATATGGATGGCTGCAAGAATGCGCACGATGCCAAAGCATATAAACCCGCCGGTCGACCCCTTCGTGATGACGAGGATAACTTGAAGTATTATCAACACAACTGTCGTATCAGTCAGATCTAGACCGCTCAGCATCACCTCCCGATACACACACCATGGCTTACACCGTTGACGGCGTGGAGGTGGGCCCAATCGCCCTGGGCATGGCAGGTAAAAACAGCCTCTTTTCCTTCATCCCGCCGGGAGCATCCGTGTCTCGTACGTACAAGAAGCCACGACTAAGAACGAGATCCCCCGTTTGCCCCCAACAAACCAGGCCTGACCCCTCGCGACGGCAGCCTGTCCACCGACGACGCCATCGCCGTCCTCAAGGCGGCCCTCGACGCCGGCGTCAACTACTGGGACGGCTCGGACGCGTACGGCTCCGACTCGTACAACTCCCTCGTGCTGCTCAACAGGTACTTCGAGCGGCACCCCGAGGACGCCGGGCGCGCCGTCGTCAACATCAAGGGCTGCTGCAAGATCGGCGCCGGCGCCGGCGCCGTCGCGGCGGCCATCGACTGCAGCCCCGGGGCCGTCCGCGCCTGCGTCGACGAGTGCCTGCGCCAGCTCGGCGGGCGGTGCCGCCTGCACCACTTCGAGGTCGCCCGGAGGGACCCCGGGGTCGCGATCGAGGACACGGCGGCCGCCATGGCCGCGCTCGCCGGCGAGGGCAAGATCGGCGCCCCGGGCCTCAGCGAGGTCGGCGCCGCGACGGTCCGCCGCGCCCTGGCCGCCGGCTGCCGGGTCGAGGTCGTCGAGGTCGAGCTGTCCGTCTTCAGCACCGAGCCGCTGACCAACGGCGTCGCCCGGGTCTGCGCCGAGAACGGCATCACCCTCCTGGCCTACGGTGGGTTTTTTTTTTGTCCCCGTGGTTCCTCAAAATGAGAGAGAAAGTGAAATGAGCTAAAAGGAAGACAAACTTGTCCTCATTTGGCCAAAAAAAAAAAAGCCCCCCTAGGCCACGGCCTCCTGACCACCAAGCGCTTCGAGGACCTGCCCGAGGAGGGCGACTGGCGCCGCATGCTGCCGCGCTTCCACCCGGACAACCTGCCCGCCAACCGCGCGCTCGCCGAGGCCGTCGAGCGCCTCGCCGCCCGCAAGGGCTGCACGCCCGTCCAGCTGGCCATCAACTGGCCGCGCGCCCTGTCGCGCCGCCCGGGCATGCCGCGCATCATCCCCGTCGTCGGGACCACGTCGGCCGCGCGCGTCGCCGACAACGCCAGGCTCGTCGACCTGACGGACGAGGACCTCGACGAGATGGACCGGATCCTGGCCGCGCACCCGGTCAAGGGCGACCGGTACCATCCGGGCGGGATGAAGGTGCTGGACCAGTAGGAGCTCGAGCAGGGTTGGTTTGTTGCAGCGAGATTTCTTTGAAATGAAACTCGAGTCCGAATTAGCGAAGAGCATATCGGAAGGTACCTAGCTTAGATTCGACTTGTGGGATGAGATGGCATAGAATACAGGTAGCCACGGAAAGGCTTCATGATCGTGTCTTTCGGCTGCTCCCTGATTGTGATCTCATGCTGGGCGGGCGCATGGTCTGTTCGTTATCTGGTTGCGACAAATATCCAAGTTTACTCCTATTCGGCCAATAGCCAGAGACTATCCAAAGAGCTTCAATGGTTTTTTCCCAATTGCCAAAGACTCAAGTTTCATATAATTCGACTTGGAAAGGAGAACGAAGATGTACAAACCTCACCCTCACGGAGTGGTCGAGTGTGGATCCGCTTACAGCCCCCTCCCCCCTCCTGCTCGCCTCAACTTACCTTATCTAACTCCACTGGCCCGGCGACTTGTGCGACAGTCCTCTCTAGACTAACAACTACGATTCTCGGACTCAAACCTTGCGACGGAGATGAAGCCAGACAGCGCCGATACACACGGACTCGGATCTCTTTGACACCGAGAGACTCCAGTTGCCAATCGCGCCTAGAGCCCCCACGGCGTGTGCCTCGGGCGTGTTGGTCCATGGGCGTCCCCGAGCCGGCAACCGCCCCGGCCGCCGAAGAGACCGTCCGGCCGTGGCGTCGCCGGTGCGCGGCAGCTGTCCTCGCCCTGGCCGGTGCCACCGCGATTCTGGTAATACTCCTGCTCGTTGGTTTCGTGCGCGGCAGAGGACAAGAACCCTGGGTATGCTCTGTCCGCTTATGGCCAGTCTGATGATGATGGTGGCGAACGCTGCATGAACCGGCTCCGCATAGCTGACAGTCCTGTCTGCAGCACATCGATACCAGCTCGGCTCGAGTAGACCTGGGCTATGCCACGTACGTCGGCACGCGGCTCTTGGACAGCAATGTCGACCAGTATTTGGGCATCCCCTACGCCGCTCCCCCCGTGGGGAACCTACGGTGGAGGGCACCTGTCGATCCCGAGGGCAAAGGTGATGTAGTTGAGGCTCATGAGGTAGGCAAATGAACTTCAACATGCCTTTTTCTACACAAGCCGCAAAGTCCTAAAGCAGGAAAGAAATGTAGTTCAAACCGATCTGCCTGGGCATCTCCGCGCCCTACCCAAACGACGCCCAGGACGAGGACTGTCTGTACGCCAACGTCTGGGCGCCTTCGAATGCGACTCCCGGGTCGAAGTTGCCGGTCTGGCTGTTCATCCAAGGCGGCGGTAAGACTCACTACGCCCTCTTCAACTAAACGTTGCTAATGAGTAATACTGACCGCCTCGCAGGCTACACCTCCCTCTCCAACGCCAACTGGAACGGCAGCGAGGTCGTGGCCAGATCAGGAGGCAACATCGTCATGGCCGAGTTCAACTACCGCGTCGGCCTCTGGGGCTTCCTGGCCGGCGACAAGGTCCGCGGCGACGGCGACCTGAACGCAGGCCTGCTGGACCAGCGCATGATGCTGGCCTGGGTGCAGAAGCACATCTCCAAGGTCTGCCAGCCCCCCGACTACACCTAGACTCTTATTTGAAACCCGCCAAACGGGCTTCTTCTCAGCGTGTGGATAAGTGAAAAACTGATATCCCGTGTCTCAAACATGCACAGTTCGGCGGCGACCCAGCCCGTGTAGTCATCCACGGCGCCTCCGCCGGCGCCGGCTCGGCCGTGATGCACCTCACCGCCTACGGCGGGCGCGACGACCACCTCTTCGCCGGGGCCATAGGCGAGTCCGTCTTCTTCCCCGCGCAGCCTTACCTGCCGGAGCTGGAGTGGCAGTTCGACAGGGTCGTCGAGCTCGTCGGGTGCCGCGGCAGGCAGGATCGAGACGTCATGAGCTGCCTGCGAGAGACAGACACCGAGACCCTGCAGGCGGCCAACGTAGCGCAGCCGTTCCCGGGCACGGATGGAGACGTGGTGCCCAAGTTCTACTGGACGCCGTGCATCGACGGCGACATGCTCGAGGACCTGCCGTACCGCATGCTGGAGAAGGGCAGATTCGTGCAGGTACCCATCATCTTTGGCAACGATCAGGACGGTTCGTGCAACACACACCTAATACCCCCCCCACCCCCTCCTGTTCACTTTTCGTATTATTGTATACAAAACACTCTCTCTCTAACACCGTCGCGCTCCTCGTACACGGAACAGAAGGCACCATCTTCGCCGCCGACGCCTCCGACGAGCAAGCCTTCAGGTCCTTCATGCAGGGCAACTTCCCCAGCCTGACCGGCGCCGACGCCGACGCGATCCTCGCCCGGTACCCGCGAGAGGACGCCGTCCCCGGCCACGCGGCGTACTTCCCCTCCCTGGCCCGCGCCTACGGCGAAGCGGCCTTCACCTGCCCGGGCATCCACGTCCTGGCCTCGTACTACAACCACAGCGGCAGCCTCACCGCCGCCGCCACCACACCCGGCCACTCCAGCAACACCACCACCAGCAACAAAACCTCGGACCACCAGAAGCAGCAGCCGCCGATATGGTCCTACCGCTACAACGTCCGCGACTCGGTCTACACCTCCCAGGGCCTGGGCGTAGTGCACCTGTCCGACGCCGCCGCCGTCTTCGGCCCGGACAACGTCCCCAGCCCCGGCGCCGCGCCGCCGGGCTACTACACGTACAACGCGGGCATCGTGCCCCTCGTGATGGACTACTACGTCAGCTTCGTGCGCGCGCTGGACCCCAACGCGCACAGGCACGCGGACGCGCCGGAGTGGGAGCGCTGGGGCGGGGACAGGGGCGGCGGCGGCGGCGGCGGGAGGCGGGTCCTGCTCGAGACGAACAGCTCGCGCATGGAGACCGCGCCGCGCGAGCAGCTGGACAGGTGCGAGTTCTGGAGGGGGCTGGCCGGGCGTATGAGGAGTTGATATACAGTTGTAAAGGAGAGGCCAGGCCAGCCCGGCCCAGCCCCACGAGACATGAAGAAGAAAAAAGCACGCAAGTCAAACGTCCAGATAGGACAAGATCACTCAAGAAAAGAAGCAACCTACTTTAGCAAAAAAACAAACAACTTTTGGGTATCTCTCTCTAACAACCTTTACGACCCCGTTCCCCCCTTCTCTCTATCCTACTCTATCTACCCGCAGTGACCCCAAACGCACCCCCCCACAACACCCCTATACACAACCACAGCACCCAGCCGCCGCGCCCCGTCGTCCCCGTCGTCCGCCTTCCAGAGCGAAAAACACGGCACCACCGGCGTCCGCAGCGCACCGCCGCCGGGAACCCACGCCCCCTCCTCCTCCTCCATCTTCTGCTGCTCCCCCGCACTCGCAGGAGAAAACGCACGGGCGTCGACGTACACCAGCTCCGGCACCAGGCACGGCGAGAGCCGCGCGCCCTTCCCACCCCCTAACATCCCGTCGCGGCCCATCCTCAGCCCGTCCTCGTCGTCCTCATCCGTAATATCCAGCTCGCTCGCCACGAGGGGCTCCTCCCCCGCCGCGGCGTCGGGGTACTCCCACCACACGACCGTCTGCACAAAGGCAGCCCCGTCGCCATCCTCGAGCGTCGTGTGCGCGACGCCGCCCCTCCTCGCCGCGCCCCTGGCGAGCGGGTACGTCGCCGTGCGGACGGTGCCACCCCGCCCCGCGCCCGCGCCCGCGAACCCGAGGTGCGCGTGCCACTCGACCTGCGCCGAGCGCGGCAGCTGCTCGACCTCGGCCACGAAGACGGGCGGCACGGGCCGGCGCTGGTCCGCAGCACAAGGCCGCGCGAGGACTCCGTAGTCGGGCAGCGACCCGCGCCGCTCCGCGGCCTCCGACTCCGCGGCGGCGTACGACCGGTACCTCGTGTCGAACGTCCTGTCCCAGAGGTCCGGGCCGCCAGGTTCCTCGTCGTCGTCGTCATCATCGTCGTCATCCCGCTTGCCGTCCTTGGACCACCGGTGCGCAGCCCTCCACGCCCTCCCCGCCAGGACGGCCCTCTCCCGCAGCGCCGGCGCCTGCCGCGGCACGTACGCCACGGCGCTGCTCCACCACTGCACGCCCACCTCGGCGCCCACGCGCCAGAGGTGCTGCAGCGCGAGGACGAGCTGCAGGGAGAACGAGTCTTGCTCCGGCGCCGGCAGCTCCATCGTCGCCGGCACGAGCGGGATCTGGCCCGCGATGGCCACGAGCCTCGCGCCGCCAGAGCTGTGCTGCTGCTGCTGGCCCTCCCGCGAGCCGCCGCCGCCGCCCCGCAACAGACTCGCGACGGGCACCGAGACGGCCTGGCTGTACGGTCCGATGTTGGCGGGCGCCCAGTACGAGCGCGACTGGACGTGCAGCCCCTGCCTGTCCCCCCGCTCGAGCGCCCTGTGCACCGACAGGAAGACGGCGATGCCGACCCCTCGCGGCAGCCGGTCGCCGCACGAGATGGTGACTCTGGAGGGCGGATTTGGGTCCGGGAAGAGGGCGCCGTAGACGGCGTTGATGGCGGGGAAGTCTGCCATGTCGCGGAGGACGACGACGGTGTTGGTGATGGATAGGGGCTGGAGGGAGTGCTCTCTCAAAAAGGAGCGGATCTGTGTGACTATGGAGCGAGTTTCCTCCTCTATAGAGGAACGGGAAGATTGCTCGGCGACGAAGCACGAGGGTGTAAATATAGCAGAGCTATCGATGTTGTCGTTGAGAAATAGATCATCACTTGATAACAAGGACCGGTCGTCCTCCTCGACGACGTCCTGGTCACGACTCTCATCTTGTGACAGCTGAGCCATCACGGCCTCAAACCTGCCGTCGAACAGCTCCGGAATGCGCACGAGCTCCTCCGCCGCATCCCCTCCAGCAGCACCACCTTCGGGTTTCGCCTCGACAGAGGCACCCCGTATCCTGAGCCAGTACGTCCCCCCGCCCTCGCTCACAACCTCCCTGTCCTCATCCCTCACCGCGATCCTGCCATCGCGGAAGAGACACCTCGGCCCGTCAAGCACAAGCGTCTCGAACTCACCCCCCTCGCCAATGACGGCCCCGAGCTCAGGCGCGCCGTACCGGCCCACGGCCCTCCTCACCCTCTCGACCCCGCGCCGGCCCGTCACCTCCTCCCACAGGAAGCTCTCGTCGAGCCCGCCGCTCGCGACGCGCACGACCCGCGCCCGCAGGCCCGCGGCCTCCATGTCGTGCAGGAGTTGCGCCTCGTCGTCGTCGTCGCCGCCGGCGCCCGGCAGCGCGGGGAACTTCCACAGGAAGGCGAGCGGGACGAGGCCGAGGCGCGTCGCGACCGACTCGACGCGCGTGCGCTGGTACGTGCTCAGGATGGCGCCGGAGCAGAGCGCGTTGGCCTCTGGGTGGGCCCTCATCACGGCCTCGAGCAGGGGGACCATGGACTCGGTCTCGTCGGCGGCCGGGGCATGGTCGGCGGGAGTACCCTTCTGCTGCGGGACGGCAGCAGCAGGGCTTTGATTAGCAGGAGCGTGTTGATCTCCTTCGTGGGGAGAGGGAGAAGATGCTGCAGATGGCGGTGAGGCCAGAGATGATGATCCAGGGTCCTCCTGGCGCGTTGTCTGGGGTGAGGAGGAGGCAGGTCCGCTCAGGGTGGACGGGTCGGCGTACTCCCTCGCGGACTGCAGGGCGCCCCCGACGATGGGATGACGGTACAGCGGGAGGCCGGTGGCGGCGGCGTACAGGGGCAGGACCTGGTGGCCGACGGTCTGATACATGAAGCTGTTGAGCCCGGCCTCGTCCTCGTCCCCCTGTTGCTGTTGCTGCTGGCCAGGCGCCGTTGTCGTCGGCCCCTGTCCGTCCACAGCCTGGCCGGCTGTGGACCCCCCTGCCACCACCGCTAGCGAGCCAGCAGCACCCTGGCCGGCAGCGGCGGGAAGAACGACAGTGGTCTTGGTGGTGGTGCTGCTGCTGCTGCTGCTGCTGCTGCTCTGTGCCGCCGTCACCGCCGGGGAGCCATCCGCTGGTGCTCTTGCCGGATACAGATTAGCCAGGGCGACGAGGCGGTGGCCGTGGGCGAGGCAGTGGAGGGCAGAGTAGAAGCTGTCCTTGCCACCCGAGACCAGGGCGATGACATTGAGACCCTTGCCTGGTGGCGCGCTGGCTCGAACTGGAGGAGGAGCAGCAGCAGCTGTCGCCGAACTGTCCGCCATCGCTGCTAGTTCGTTCAGCTTGGCTGGCGAATCCTTGACGAAAACGGCCCGTGGGGGGCCGGCAAGACGAACGCGTGGGAAGCTTCAGCGGTCAGGCAGGCGTCTGCGCGCACACCCTGCTGGACTTGGTGCAGAGGATTGAACTAGGGTGCGAGAAATATGCGGCAGGCCGGGAGATGAGGATATGCAATGTAGATGCAGGTACCGCAGAGATCGAAATTATGGTCCGATAAGAAATGATAACCAGAGAATGAGATGCCCTTTCTCTTGGCGCATGTGTTCTGGCGGGGAGCCTTTACACGCAGTGCACGTGCTGGAAACAACACAGACAACGACGAGCTCTGCCCTCCAGCTGGATTGAAAGCGCAGCGCGGAGATGAGAGCGGAGACGGGACGGTGCGGCTCTCCCACGTGCCTGACGAAGATGCTTGGCCGTTCCAGGAAACGAAGTTGAGGTGAAGTGCCGGTCGTCCCAGTCCTTTCTCTCTCGCTGCAGCCCACCCAGCTCCGTGGCCGCGGTCGGGTGACGAGATGCGGTGTGATGTGATGTGATGTGATGTGATATGCCGGCGGCGACGGATAGGCTGGGCAAAAAGAGGCGAACGACGGTCTGTGAGCAACGCTCCTCCCCTGGTCTCTCCCAGCTGGACGAGGATGATGTTCGATGTATCTCTTCTCCAAGAGTACCTAACTACGCCATGTGCGCACGGAGGTCGTTGTTCGCAGTCACAGCGTCACAGTCCTCTCTTCGCGAGCTTTGGTGGCTCGATGGTGAAATTATTTCAGAGCTGGGTCTTGCCTGTTTGCGGACGAGCATCGCCGTTTCTGTCGCCTAGCGCTGTTCGCCCGGTGGGGAAGTTGCTACCTACCTAGGTTACCTAGGTACCTACTTGTACTTTAGGTACACTCCAGCCAGTGACACGGCGCTCCGTTCAAACCGCCAAAAAGCAAAGGAAAACAACATCAGAGAGCAGCAGCACTATCACCAAACCAGGCCAGTCACCCGGCTAGCCTCACATGTTGATTACCTACAAGTACAAGTACTAACTAGTTAGGCGAAGGGAAGATGGGTACTATCCAACCACCAGCCAGCCAGAAAGTCTCCGATGGCAGAACGGAGCTAGAATCACCCTGGAAGCTTCCGAGGTGCAATATGGAACCACCAGACGTCGTCGTGCATGCCCATTTCCTTCCAAGCCTTTCCCCACCGCCGCAAGGGAAACGAAATGAAATGTCCCATCTGCCGACCCATCCAACGGGCCTCCGGCATCATCCCGGTTCGACGGCCATGCCCATGTCCGCAAATAGTCAAAGCAGACGATGTGTCCCCCCAATTTCCCCCAGTGTCCACACACCACCTTAGGACGAACCCCATCCATATCTTTGTTCCATCTCCCCAAGGGCCGGGCCCCCCGTAACGGCCATGTACTCCCCGTCATGATAGCCTCGAGTAGTTCTGCAAGGCACCCTTATTATCTTGGCATCTCTACTCCATACCGACTCCGTACTGGAAAGAGAGATAGAGCTAGTCGCCGTGCTAAAGAACTGCTTCTACCCACTTGTAGTCCCCCCCGGCCCATATTGCTCGTACCATCCTGGACATACCCAGGACGCTAGCAAGAGCACCGGTAGTCCGCACGGACAGGGCCGTCCCCTCTGGCCTGACTCGCTCTCTTGTGGATGGTTCCCCGTTAGTCATTAGACTAAGGCGGAATTTCAGATGGAAGGGGGGAGACCAAGATGCTCCAAAGCTTCATCTTAAACAGCCCTCTCATGCAGCACAATCCGGATCAGGAAACAGTGACGACGGAAATAGCTACCGTAGCCAGACAAAGTACCTGCGCCACGTGAATACATTTGCCCTGCTCTAGCTACCTATGCTCAATACGTGCTCTCCCTGGGGGGAGGTTGCGGTTCCCAATCTCGGGTGTTCCGAACCGTCCTTCTCGAAGGCTACCACATTCAGTTCCCACCGAGACTCTGCGTGTATTTGCCGTGTAGGTGTGCATGTGTGTGTGTGTGGACCAGCTTCGGTGTGTGTGTTGTCTTGTCTCTCCCCAGGGACTTCAGCTCCCCCATGCCTGCCGTCTCTCCTTCCGGCACGTTGCTCGTGAACCAGGCCCCCAAGACAGCGGCGCACGCCCGCCAGAGGACGGCACGGACGAGAGAGAAAACGTCCGCCGCCGCGGCCCCCATCAATACAGTTACACATATCGTCAATAGATTACTCTTTGCGGGGGGGCCAGAGATCTGAGCGGGCTCGGGGGCTGGAGGGGAGGGGAGGAGAAGGGGAACATAGCGTATGCCTGAGCGTCAGAAAGTCTATCAGCCAGCCAAAGCTGAGCTTGTCTCACCCCAACTCAGGGTATCCCGGCCATGGCGCCCAAGCCATTTGTCAAAGCTTCACCGTGGGACACCTTGGACCGTATCCGTTGTACACCTTGTGTGTGTGTGTGACCTCTGTTGTTGGTCCGAGGTACCAACCAGAAGACCTTCCCTCCCCCTCCCCACGGCTAACCATCTTCCGAGACTCTCAGCTTTACATGGCTTCAGCTGGTTGCTGCCGTAGACGAGCACTATTCGCACACACACACACACACAGGTGACGATAAGCGTCAGCCAGCTTGGCTTTTGCCGCCTCCAGCAGCCATCCAATCATCCGTACGCGACCAAGTGTCACCATATCACGAAAACGAGCAAGGCAATACGAGGGGCTGTTCGTGGTGGCAGCTTTAAAAGAATGTTTTCTTTTTTTTGTGGTGTCTTTTCATTCATCAAAAGAACGCTGTGTTGCTTGTGCATATATGTTGTATGTGCTTTTTTTTTTTGGAAAAGGATGTACATGGTTTTCCGCGATACGCATTTGATGTGATCCCTCTCCCGTCCCACCACTTTGATTGTGACCCGCACAGCCAGGGGAAGAAAGCTGGAGCCAAGGCCAACCTATAAGCTTCAGGGCCAGACAGGAGACGAGGAGAGGAAAGAGGATAGGAGCAAAGAGACAGATCTTGTGGGGGGGTTGCTCGAGGGGAAACAGAGACTAAACACAGGATATACGAGACTGGTGAAAGCGAGCAGCCCAGCGAGCTGGACCAGCCATCAACCAAGCCAAGCAGAGAAGCAAGAAATTTCCAAGAAAGACGATTTCCGAACAGTGACGGGGGACCTGCTTCCGACTGCTGCAAAATTACAACGAGCGTAGAGAACTGCATGAAAAGCCGCCAAAACGCAAAAGATTCATAGGATATAAAGGTGCTGGGGAAAAAAAAGTGTCTCTGCTCCCTCCTCTCCTCTTCGCCCTCTCACTTGACGCGGGGGTAAAACAAAAACCATGTGAAATGCAAAAGACAACGATGGAAACCGGGATATATAGAGGTGATTCTCCCTCCACTCCAAAAGCGCGCGCGCCCCAACCCCAGAGAAGACCAGTTATCCGCCCTTGGCCTTCGGTATTTTATGTATCGCGCTTGTGAACCCACCCCCTTTGCCTCCCGATGTGGAAAAAAAGATCCCGCATAATGCAGTCCTTTGGAGAAATGCGCGTCAAAAAAAACAAAATTCCCTTTCTGCTTGGCGGCAAAAACAAAAGCATGATGGAGTGTTGATACAGATGGGAGAAGGAGAGGGTGTAAATGCCGCAAACTTTTTGTCTTTTTTGATCCTTTCCGGTGAGGGGGAGGGAAAGAGAAAGGCTGGTCTGAGATGATCCGAACCTGAATCTCAGGCCAACCAGCCCTTTTGCCGTGATTGATCAACCGCCTTTATGAGTCTGACCCTATGGGACCGATCCGCGTAAAAAAAAGATAGCGGGGTAGGTCGAAGAAGGTTTGGTGTGAACAAGTTCATTCAAGTCGTATCGGGGCATAAAAAATGTCCGTTGCCAGCTAAGAGAGCATCGGACATTTGTCATTGTTTTCTTGTCGAGGTCAAGAAAGAGGACAAACGCTCCGAGGAGCGCGAGGCCGACTCTTAGTCGGATCGCTTGCGCTTCTTCTTGCCCTGGGCATCGCTGCCGCCTTCCTCGGAGGAAGACTCGCTAGCGCTGCCGGGGACCTCGGCGGCGACTTGAAAGAGGACCTTGCCAAGGGTGTGGTAGTCCTCGGCGCCGGTGCCTGCGCCGGCATACATCTGCGGGTGAGCGCTGTAGACGCCGGCGGCAGCCATGGACTCGGGGTCGTCCAGGATGCCCATGACGACGGCGCCGGAGCCGTGGGTGCGGGCGTGCTGTGACAGGTTGTCCGAGCGGGAGAACTTCTTACCGCACTCGTGGCACTCGAAAGGCTTCTCCTGGGTGTGGAGGGAGCGGTAGTGGCGCTTCAGATGCTCTTGTCGGCGGAAGCGGCGGTTGCACAGCTCGCAGACGAAGGTCTTGGAGGGATCCTCCGTCAGGGACTGCTTGCGGCCTCGGCGGTTGGCAGGGGCGGGCAGGGGCGTGGAAGCACCGTTGTCGGGGCTGCCGGCGGAGGCGGACGAGTCGTCCTTCTCATCAGAGGTGCTCGCCTGGTTGGACGGCTGCTGGGCCTCGGACTGGGCGTCGGCGTCGGCGGCGGCGGCGGCGACGTTCATCTTGGGGCTGGTCTTGCGAGACTCGGTCTTGGAAGTCTTTTGTCGCTTGTCGTGGTGGCAGTCGCTGTCGTCCGAGGTGGACGTGGGCGGGCTGGGCAGACCGATGAGCTCGAAAGGCTGAGCCTCGCTGAAATCCTCAAAGTCGTCGGCACAGACGTAGCTCTCCTCGCCCAGCGAGACGACACCAGAGCTGGCGCGCGACCGGCTGAGCTGAGCGTTGGTGGACTCGCCGAGGTTGACCAGGCCGTTGACGAAATCGTCGTCCGACTCGAGGTCGGAGAAGTCGTCAAAGCTGGGCAGACCGCTGGCAATTGACGGGGTGAAGTCAAAGGTGGCAGTGGTGCTGGTGGTGTTCTTGGCGGCTGTGGGAGCTTCCCCCCTGAGCAGCGTCTCGTGCTCGTCGTCGCCCGGGCAGAGGGTGGGCAGAGCAGTGAACTCGGGAGCCAGAGTCGAGTTGGCAGAGCCGACAGTCAGGTTGCGAGGATCACAGAAGTCGAGGTCCTGTTCCGAGGCGACAGACCTGGCGTAGGGAGAGGGCGAGGGCGACAGAGAAGGGCAGGAAGTTGTCGAAAGGAGGTCGCTAGCGTTGCTGCTAAGCGAAGCAATCTTGGTGGGCTGCGACTGAAGGTACACTGCGGGAAAAAAAAGCAACAAAAAGTGCTCTGTGGTCAGCCCCCAAATTCACCACCCAAGAGCAAAAAAACCAGGTAATCGCTGCACTGGGCGCCCCGCTATTAAGCACCACACCACTGCACCAAAAAAGGAAACCGGGCTTGTAAGTGACAACTTTTAAACCCAAAGGACTTGGGAAGCTGGTATTCAACCGCCCCAACGTCTTTCTCTTTTTGGAGACAGCGCATGGATGATTGAATGCAACCACGCACATGTGACAATGGTGAATACCGCAAGACGGAAGAAAACAAAAAGTGAAGCAAAACGGGCAAATACACACCTGGAGTCAGCGGCGGTGAAGCGCAGTTGGACCAGTCCAGGACTGGGAACTTCTCCATGTGGGCATCGTCCTTGGCACCCTCGAGACCGTCCAGGCCCGAGAACATGGGGTTCAAGGGCGTGGCCAGCATGTCGCAGCTGCCGGGGCTGCTGATGGCACTGCCAGAGGTGGACAGCGGAGGCGTCGTCGGATAGTACAGGCCGTCCGCATCACAGATCTGGGTCTCGAGGACAATCGTCGGCTTCTGGCAGACCGGCTGGGGCGAGGCGACGGGAGTCATGTTGGACGGGATGCTGGTGACGGCACGGGGCTGCATCAGCTGCTGCTGCTGCTGCGAGCACGAAGAGCTCGGCCTCGAGTACATCGGCGTTGACGGGAGGGTCGGCACAATGGGGAACATCGGCATCTGTTGCTGCTGCGGTTGCTGGACAAAGTGGCCGTGCTGCCGGTTCTCCGGGTTCGGGTCCGGGCTGTAGTAGTAGAACGACGCCGGAGACATCGTTTGAGATGCTACCATGGATTCCATTGTGGTTGTTGTGCTGCTGCCACACATTCCCAGGTTAGCATTTGCCCTTCGTCCCAGTACTTGTTGGTATGGTAGGCTACCTACCAGATCGATGTTCGGGGTTAGTTTCTTGTCGTTCTTGTTCTTGTCGTTGATTGTGTCGGGTCTAGGTATTAAGTATATTTGCGTAGAGTATAGTTATACAGTTTTTTCCTTTCGAAGTGATGCGCTTGGGCAAGAGGCCTAAAGATGGTGGTTGTCGGTTCCGTTGCTGGTAAGGAATGGACGGCAGTGTCGAAAGCTCAGTGCTTCAACAACTGTCTAGTAAAGGACTCGAGGGATGTTGTACATGGAAGCTCGTCTGAGGCGATGTCTTGAAGCTTCTGTTGCCTTGGGTGTCTTGTCGAGAGTGTCCAAGAGTGTTGTTGGGCAGGCAGAGAGAAAACAGCAAGAGGTGACTGGACAGGCCGAGGTGTTATACTAAAGAAGGGAAGGGAATGGGATTCCAAGAGGGTCGAGTCCCAGAAAGAATGAACCGATAGTCAAAGGGAATAAGAAAGAACTACACTTCTAAGACGACAAACCTGTCGATCATGGGGGATTAGGTAGTAAGAACGAATGTCAAGAACTGGGGGACCCGGAGGGGATAAGTAAAGGAAGCCAAGGACACAGATCAACGGCAAGATAAAGTCGACGGCCATGGATGCGTCGATAGGCAGTGAGTGGGTGATGGGTGACGGACCTGGGTCTTCGACGGCGAGCCATCCATGGGTCCCGTCCAGGGTCAAGGGCCTTCGATCCATGGGTTGATTGTGCCATCCACCAACCCACCATGCACGTCTCACTGAGAAGCTGACATGGGGCCTCTCTTGACGGAGCAGGGGTGTGCTGGCGAGCGAGACGGCGTCGAGCGACTCTCTCCCCTGCTCTGCATGTCTGGGGCAAGACGGAAACATCAGATGGGTGGGTGGGTGTGGGTGGACACGGCGGCCAGGATGGCGCAGCACTAGGCCATTCTAAATCTGGACAGGACCAGCAGCAGACACCACGGACGGATGTACCCTCGCGCCAGAGGTACATTGCTGTCCTGTGCCTGTCCTGGGGTGCTCATCCTCTCTTCTTGACCACCACCATCCCGGACGGAGGCAAGATGTGCGAGGGCACCCATGTCAACAGCGTTGGACAGAAGGGTACCTGGCACTAGCCCGGCCCAAGCCAACAGACGTCTTGCAGAACTACTGGTCCTGCTCGAGAGCGAGCGCACTGGGACTAATAGCAGGATCCTCCGTACAGAGCAAGCCTGCGGGGGTGTTCCGAAGAGGCCACCAGCTACGATTGTGTGATGGAACAAGAGGTTCTTGTGATGACTAGTCCGTCCTTTCTAAGCCGAAAACTCACTGGATTCGGGCGATAGTGACGACGGCGGCTCGGTGCCCAAGCATCCTTCTGCAGGACTTTTTTTTTTCATAGCATGATACCATGAATCTTTACCGAGAGATGGAAGGGAAAAGAGAAAGAAAAAAAAAGTTGGTCGTATTGCATGTAGCTTTCCTTCTTGGAGGGTGGTTTAGTGCAGGAATACTGGGTTGTGGGCACACATACGCAAACAACCTACCCACAGGAATACGAGTGAGTAGACCGGTACACCTGCGTTCTGTGAGGTGTCCTGCTCTCTCTCTCACTGGACAAGGTATCTCTTGCTTGTCTTGCTCGCTGGTGGGTGGTGGAGATTCCTTCGAGAATCCTACCACTCACGTACGACCCGTCCCGGGCACCCGTCTCGCAATCTTGGAAAAAGCGTGTGAAGGTCAATGACCGTCAGAGCGGTGCGGCCGTCCACCATTCCGAGGACGAAAAAGCAACGCCTACTGGCCCGGATGTAAAAAGGACAGCCCACGAGAAGGAGGGGGGGGAAAAACTAATACATCTGCAAAAGCAAAAAAGGTGTGGGTGGCACATGCAAAACAGCCTGAGCGAGTGTGAGCGTTGGACAGACGTCAGGTAGATCGTCATGATGTGTGGGTGTGCGTGTGGACGTTTGTTTCCCTACAGGCGCTCGGTTCGCTCGCCTCTCTCTCTCTACACATACAAAGTGAGGATGGTAGTGCACTGCATAAAGCCGTGTGTGCGAGCACGCTCATAGGCCAGATAGCCTCGAGAACGTCCATCCACACATCTTGCACAAACGGGTCTGAGAATAGCCAGTGGTCAACTCCAGGTGCGCCTGTCTCTGGCAAGTCGAGGCAGTCATTCGCTGGGCTGGATGAGCACACCTGTCACACGCATCCTCTGGCGGCACCCAAGGAATGAAAATTTTCCCTTCAGGCAACCTCTTTTCTTGGGTCTCCAGCAGCCAGTGGCCAGTCGTTTTCGCCGTGGGTAGCACACGAGACCGAGATAGAGTAACTCATGCAAGGTACGGGCGAGGGCGGGATGCCGTCTGCTTACAGCGTCACGCACCTGCGACCCAGTGGGCGTTGCGCCATTGACGGTGTTTCGCTGATCATGCTTGTGGCATCCACCATCTACCATCCAAGATCCAAGTTGGGAAATGTAGCATCATCACCCCGTCTATCCAACTGCAGGACGGCACCCGCAGCAGGAGAAGCGGTGGCGGGGCCAAGGCTAAAGGCGGCGGATGCCTCTCATTTTCTCTGTCCGTCTCTTTTTGGCAAATACACACAATCAACGAGACCGGTGGACGCCAAAAGCAGGTACCGAACGATGATCACCGGAGGCCGTCTGTGCAGTTTGACGTAGCATTGCCTTCCTCCGGGGCACCCGGCACACAAGACCGCATACATAGCCACTGGCCTGCTCTTCACGCTGCATAATGGCGGCATGCTTGGGACGCAATGCCCTTCCGACTAGTGCGGCATATGAAATGGCCGTGGAAACACGCCCAGGTGGGATTCACTTGGCCCGTGGTGATTTTCGAAACGCATTTGCAAATCTCTGGTACCTGGGAAATGGGCTGGCGGGGCTCGATAACAAGCATTCGCATTGATATGAAGCCCGGGATGCTGGGCTGTGATTCAATGCGGTTTTGATTTGCCCCAGAATTTCGAAAACCAGGGAAAGGGAAAGCCCACAGGGCATGCCTCCGGCCGTGTCGGAGAGCTTCTAAGAATAAGATTCCCAAACGTGCCAAACGGCCGTCGCAGGACCTGGTGTGGATAATTTTATTCCATCAGATAGATTGTGTCTAAATTGTGAAATGGCCGCGCTAGCCCGGTTGGTGCGTTTGAGGGTGGTGGGATTCTGCTCACGCACCACCGCTAACAAAAAGGGTTTCTCTTCTTACACACCACCGTAACCACACGCACACGCACACGCACACGCACACACACGCGCACAATCTGCAATCAATCTCCCCATAGTCAAATCACTACAAGTACCAACTTCTATTGTTGGTTGCAGCATGTGTTATCAACGGCAGAATGCAAGTGGTTTCGTCCAACACGACAGGCTTCCCCTCGTACTCTGTGCAGTCGGCTTCAATGTCTGGATCCGGCTAGGCTCCCTCTTCTCAGTCCCATCTCTTCGGGGCGGGCAGTACGAAGTATAGTATCTCCTGCAGGTCTGGTCGGATGCGTGTTTCCTGATTTGCGAACCCACCAAATGCACGCTACCACAAGCCAAGCAGCCCGAGTCGTGGTTGAAAACCGGCTGTTGAGATGCGCCAGCGAATGACATCGACGGCTCACAACCAAGAGCGTGGCAACCGTCTGTGTCCGTGCTGCAGGAGCGACGAAGGGACTTGTCCTTTGACGCTCTAACCGAGACATTGGATCAACAGAGTTGTCTTCTTTCGATCTGCCGAGTGGGAATAGGGTCAAAACGTGACGCAAATGGGCCATTCAGCAGCCAGCGACGGACCACACGGCCAACCGCGGGGGCCACAGGCAGACAGAATTCCAGCCAGTGGGGGCTGCCGAATGGAAGATTCTACGGCGCGGCCCCTCCTTATGCAACCACTTTAAGCTGCTCACTCAGTGCTGCCGCCTGGCAAACCACCCAGAGGCAGCCAGCCGTCCAGTCAAACGCCGCAGGGACGATGGCGCTCGTTCACACCTCGCCCATGTGACCACGGCCGGACGTATCCGCGCGCTCTGTTCAGCGTCTGTCTGGGCGCCTCTTGTCACATCTTTACTGCTCTTGTCTCCATCTCTCTCTCTCTCTCTCTCCTCTTTCGCTCTCCATCCCCTCTACCCCACAAGTGTCCATGCAGCTCGAACTAGACTTGCGACAAAGTCGACCTGTGCGGACAGGAAGTGTGCATGATGCGAAGCTAGTTGCCTGGCTCCGGCATGTATCCTGCATCGCGAGCTACTTTGGTCTATCAAGGTGTTTGTTCCTGGCCAAGCCTATATCATGCTTCACGTCGTCCGAGCTATGGACTACTATCGACACCCGCGGTAGCCGTAGTTGAGAGTCCGTCGTCTGCCCACTACTCCATATCTGAGCAAACCGAGTTCACAACAGGTGGCAGGCAGACCCACGGGCCTCTTCTTCGCCCACAAACAAGACCCAGCAGGAAGGAAAATAGCTTCCACTAGAGATTCCGTCGGGTCTCAAGATAAGACAAAAATCAAGACCGCGTCGGACACTATCCTGTTAGCCCCCTGGGAGAGGGGCAGCGCCCACAATGACGACAGAAGCACGAGCTGTCTCTCAGAAGTTTCTAGGGCCACTTCGCGAACTCTGTCATTTTCGCCGGGGTTGCGTTGTTTCTTCCAGAGAGCTGGTAGAGTCCACCGAGATGTCTTGGAGAGGAATGTGTCAAGTGGCTAGCTGGTAACTTGCGCGTGGGGTTCGTTATCAACACACGTTGTTCTCTTTCTCCCCCCCCCCATTCTATGCTTGCACGGAGCGTCATGCCGTTCTGGGGAGGACCCAATACCAAGCCGAAGAGCGTGCATGAATCACCCATCTTCATCATGATTTGGACGGGAAACCCCTCCTCTACGTAGGTCCGAGACCCAGGGCAGACGACCCATCATGATGACGACGACATGCAGGTCGCTCGTAGGCCCTATAATACTGGAGAACGTTTACGAGATCAACAGCGACTATGTTTCAACTCCAGAATTCCCATCTTGATTAGGGAGCCTGTAACGAGACTAGACGCTGCAATCAAGTGGCTCTCGCCGGCTGCACCAACCACGACCACGGCATCCTATTCGACGTCTCGGGTGCTAGTGCTCGCAACCTGTTCCAGCTGAGAGTCTGGTTCTGGACAAACAGGCTCATCGAGCATTAGCATTGGGCAGGTGCTTGCTTCGTATATACCTGCCCCCTCTCGACTTGGCCTGAAATGGGCTACGGCGCGGGCTTGTGCAATGTCCCAAGTGCCAGCTCTCCCCACAGCTGTGCATCTTCTGTAACCTGTAACTGTGCTTTCGCCGACATTGTGCCTTTGGTTTTACATCTCCCTAGGATCCGAGCTAGTACTTTTATGCAGAGCAAGGATCACCTGCTTTGGGTGGGATGGCTTGGAACGGTCGTGCGTTGCAGTTGCAGCATTGGAGTGTTCTGCAAAGCCTTTTGCTCGCCGTGGCTGCGTCCAAGCTGGTGCACTGCTGCACTGATGCC